TCAAATGTCACTTCCTCATCACTAGAGTCACTATCATAGTTACAAATACCAGCTAGTGCAGTAACTAGTTTAGCAGATTCTTCTTCAGAGTTACTTTCTGAGTCACAATCAGACCAAGTAACAGATATTCCTTTCTTTTGTTTCTTAAGAAAGGTAGGACATTCAGCTCGAATATGCCCATATCCTTCACATCCATGGCATTGGATTCCTCTGCTTTGATTTCTCTTTTCTTCAGACTTAGGTCTTCTGCTGGAGTCATAGGATCTGCTAATGTCAGAGGAAATGTTCTTGACATTTGACCTTGACTTTGGGTCCATTCTCTTGATGAGTTTGTTGAACTGCCTTCCAAGCATAGTTATAGCTTCTGAAATATTCTCTTCATCACCCTCCTTGTTTTCATCTTCAGTATTGGATACAAGTGCTATTCTCTTGTTTTTCTTGTCAACATTGTCACTAATCCCCATCTCAAAAGTCTGAAGTGACCCAATGAGTTCATCAACCTTCAAGTTGCAGATATCCTAAGCTTCTTCTATAGCAGTCACCTTCATTGCAAACCTTTTAGGCAAGGATCTGAGAATCTTTCTCACCAGCTTTTCTTCTGACATCTTTTCTCCCAATGCTCCTGAGGTGTTGGCAATTTCCAAGATGTTCATGTGAAACTCATGAATGGTCTCATCTTCCATCATCCTTAGGTTCTCAAATTTGGTAGTAAGCATCTGAAGTCTTGACATTTTTACTTTGGATGTACCCTCATGGGTGGTTTTGAGAGTGTCCCAAACATCCTTGGCCATCTCACATTGATGTACTAGTCTGAATATGTTTCTATCAATTCCATTGAATAATGCATTTAATGCTTTGGAGTTACCCATGGCTAACTCATCTTCTTCTTTGCTCCATTCTTCCTCAAGTTTCAGACTGGTCGTCCCATCTTTCCCAGTTATGGTGGGATGGTTCCATCCTTTGTCAGCAGCTCTCCAAGCCTTTTTGTCCAGTGACTTCAAGAAGACAATCATACGAGGTTTCCAGTAGTCATAATTTGATCCATCCAGAATAGGTGGTCTGTTCCCAAATCCTCCTTCCTTGTCCATAGCACCAGAAAATAATATCCCTAGATCTCACCCAGTAAGACAGGCAGGGTGCCTGCTCTGATGCCAATTGAAATTCTGGCAACAGATACTTAATGTCACAGTGAATGTTATGACACCGTATCTGACACACTTCAAGACAGTAAATTAAAAATAGTAAAGAACACAATTAATTGTTAACCCAGTTCAGTGTGTAACAACACCTACTCTGGGGGCTACCAAGCCAGGGAGGAAATTCACTATAAGAGATATTAATTCAGGAATAAACCAACCAGTTTATCTCCTTCACTTAAGACCTACCCAATGCAACTTCAATCTAAGTTCAACTTAAACCTGAGTTCTTACTCACTCCCCCTCAATCACAACAGTGATACTAAACTATTGATTAATGAGATTATGAAGACACTCTTCAGTACACACACTTGATTTTGCTTCAAAGCTTTAATCAAGAGACACAATCACTCGTGCTTCAAAGCTTTGAGTGATAAACAACCCTAACTTAATTTTGCTTCAAAGCTTTAATCAAGAGACACAAACACTCGTGCTTTAAAGCTTTGAGTGATACACAACCCTTACAATCAAATCCTACTCCAAGTCACTTATCACAATGATAATTGCTTGGCTCACAGTAGTTACAACTATACAATCCCTTATTGATCTTCTGTCAAAAAGTGTACTTAACCATTAATCTTCAAGAGGAATATATAGGCAGACTATTCTTCAGTTAGGGCTTCCATGAAAATGGCTAGGGTTAACTAAAGTTAACCTAAAGACTTGTTCTTAGGCTTTCATCATACCAGATTAGGGTTAAGCAAGGTTAACCTAATGTCCACGTGAGCATCTGATCTGGACTGTATACATCAACTCATAGAAGCATACCAGATTCCTGAAAATTCTCAGGAATAATAAATCTGCACAATTGCTAGATCAGTACAGGATGTCTTAACATTGGTTATAATAACAAGAATCCTGCTCACTGATTTTGGTAGAATACAATATATATGATCATTGCTTAATGATCATGATAAACACTCATACTGAGTAGTTCCTGTATGACATTCTTTTCTGCAGAATGTACTTTTATCCCAGAATGTTATGACATCAGTCATGACATTCGCAACTCTGGTTTTACCAAAAAAATGCCAACAAACAAACACTTACAGTTCCAACTTGCATTAATGAGTCCTATAAATAACCCTCTTGTAATGATTGTTTAGAGTTAATGCCAATTTTAATTTTCTCCTCAATTACTCTCTCTCTCTCTCTCTCTCTCTCTCTCTCTCTCTCTAATTATCTCCAAATTTCTCTCCAACTTTATCTTCTCCAGTTAACCATTTTTTCACCATTGATTCACTAACTTATTTTTGTATATGTTCCAACATTTAGCATCAAGAGCCTAGGTTTTGATCCATTAATCTGTTTCAAACATGTCTATCATTTCCAATGATCGAATCCCTACCAACCTTCCGATTCTTGATTTCAATAACTATAACAAATGGTGCAAACAAATGAAAGTATTATTTGGGTATCAAGAAGTCTTCGAAGTCGTTAACGATGGTTTTACAGCACTTGAGGCAAAAGCTATAGCTGCTCAACAAGCTATATTTAAGAAAGAGAATAAGAAAGACTACAAGGCACTCTTCTTGATACATTCTTGTGTTGATAACGACAACTTTGAAAAGGTTAGTGATTGCACGTCGGTGAAACAGATGTGGGAGATTTTGAAGAAAGCTTATAAAGGGGCTGATAAAGCAAAGGTTGTGAGGTTACAAACTCACAAGAGGTCGTTCGAGCTGGTGCAAATGGAAGAGAAGGAATCGATCAATGATTATGTTATGGGTATAACGCATTAAGTGAATCAAATGAAGTCTTGCAGTGAAACCGTGTCGGAGCAGAATATTGTTGCAAAGATCTTATGTTCTTTAATGTCAAGATTTGACAACATTGTGGTTGCAATCGAAGAATCGAAGAACCTTCCTACATTGAGCAAGAAGGGACTTCAAATCTCATTAGAGGCTCGTGAACAAAGGATGGATGAAAGAGGAAATGATAAGGCCAAAGCGGATATTGCGTTGCAAGCACGATTCAATGAGAAGAACAAGAGCTCAAAAGGAAAAGGGTCTTCAAAAGGGAAGGCAAATTCTCATAATTTTGGTGGAAAAGAGTCACAAAATTTAAGGGCTTTGATGTTGCAAAGAGGTGAGAGCAGCTATAAAGGTAGTGGTCAAGATAAAAACACCAAAAAGTTTGATAAGAGTGGTGTGAAGTGTTACTTATGTAACAAGCTTGGGCATTTCTCAAAGGAATGTAATGCAAAATCGAGAGAAAATCAAAGTGATGAGGCTAAGGTAGCTCGAGATCACAGAGGTCACAGATGATAACACACTTATGGTCATTATTATAGAGGAGAATTATGGCAAGGAAAAGTTGTTGAACAACAGCAGTAGCAGTTTTCAGTGGCTGTGCAACAACATCTATAGTGCAGAAAAAGTTGTTGAAACGCGTCCGGAGCAAAACGTAATGGTAACCGTTCGAGATGCAGTGCAGAAAAAGCTGGTGAAATGCGTCCTTAGGTGATGTTTTGATCATGAATAAGGATGGGAGTCATTCCTTGATCAAATATGTGCTTTACATCCCTAGAATTAAATGTAATCTCTTGAGTATTGGCCAATTTCTTGAGAAGAATTACACAATTCAGATGAAAAGAAAGATTTTAGGCGTTTTATATCGAAATGTTATTTTGGTTTTTGGAGCACCTGTGGCTTCCAATCAGACTTTCAAGATAGAGTTTAAAGTGATGGAACATAGGTGTCTTGTTACATCGGCAAGTCGTGATGAGTGGTTGTGGCATTACCATCTTGGACATCTCAATTTTCGAGACCTCGACGCGTTACAAAGGAATGGTATGGTGACCGGGCTGCCTAAGATCAATGTTCCAGCTGAGATATGTGATGAGCGTGTTCAAGGGAAGCAACACAAGGATAGTTTCAGCAAGGATGCATGCCATAGGACCAAACATCATATTGAGGTGGTGTAGTCGGACATTTGTGCGCCAATGCAAGTCGACTCCTAAGGTGGAAATAGGTACTTTGTCACTTTCGTTGTTGATTTTAGTAGGAAGCTATGAATTTATCTAATCAATAGGAAAGATGAGGTGTTTGACATATTCAAACGTTTTAAATCCATGGTGGAGCGACAAAGTGGTCACAAGTTGAAAATTCTCAAAATTGATGGTGGAGGTGAGTATACCTCGAGTGATTTTATGAATTATTGTGATGATAAGGGTATAATGCATGAGATTGTGCCACCTTATACGCCTAAAAAAATTGTATTTCCGAGAGGAAAAATCGTTCAGTAATGTATATGGTTCATAGCATGCTAAAGAGTAAAAATTTACCGAAAGAGTTATGGGTGAAGCTATGTCTACAGTCGCCTATTTGTTGAATAGGTTCCCTAAAAGAAGCTCAATAAAGTAACTTCATAAGAGGTATGGTATGGTTTTAAACCAAGCTTGACTCATTTAAAATTTTTCATTTTGATTGTATTTTGACATTCCGGGTCAACTTCAAAAGAAGTTTGATGAAAAAAGGGAGATGATGTTACTTGTTGGTTATCATCCTACCGGAGGCTACAAATTGTTTGAAGTCAGTAGCAAGAAGATCGTGATAAGTTGAGATGTGGTCATGGGTGAATTACGGGTGTTTGACAATAGGAAAAAGTCAATTATAGTACAGGAAATTGGTTTTCTAGATGAGGGAAACCAATTTCTAGCATGATTTTTACATCCTGAAGCCATCGGAACTGATTTTTTGGAAGCAGAAACCGATTCCCCTATTTCTGGAAACTGGTCTCCACCTGAAAATGCAGAAAATTAGCCTTCTGCAGAAACAGTTCAGCAACCTGTCGAAGTCGAAAATGGTGAATCCAGTAGACAACCAACAAGACGCTGAGGTCTACCTCAGAGGCTCCGAGATTGTGAAGTATTCCATGATAATAAGATCAACAATAATGGTGATCTTATTCACTTTGCGCTTATGGATGAATCTCAGCCCGTAAGCATGGAGGAGGCATTAAGCGATCCAAAATGGGTGTGTGTGATGAAAGAGGAGCTGGAATCGTTTGAAAAAAATAATACTTGGGAGTTAGTCAGTCTACTTGAATGGAAAAAGCTAATAGGAGTGAGATGGGTCTATAAAGTAAAGGCAAATTCAAAAGGCAAAATTGTCAAGCATAAGGCTCGACTAGTTGCGAAGAAATTTTTGCAAAGAGAATGTATAGACTATGAATAGGTGTTTGCTCCTGTGGCTAGATTAGAAACTATATGGTTGGTTGTTGGTATTGTGAATAGAAATAATATGTCTATGTATCAAATAGATGTAAAATCTGCTTTTTTTTTTAATGGTCCACTTGAGGAGGAAGTCTATGTAGAGCATCCCCCTGGTTTTGTGGTGACAAATCAAGAGGGAAGAGTCTACAAATTGAAGAATGCATTTTATGATTTGAAACAAGCTCCTAGATCTTGGAACAAACACATTGATGCTTTTCTAGTTGAGGTTGGCTTCAAGAAGTGTATATCTGAACATGGTGTTTATGTGAAGACACGTGCAAGCAAGGATGTGATCATACTTTGCTTATATGTGGATGATTTATTGATCACAGACAGTAATGAAGTGAATATTTCTAAGTTCAAGAGCGAGCTTATGGAATAATTTGAGATGAGTGACATTGTCTTAATGAAATACTTTCTTGGCATAAATTTTTATAAGTAAAAAATGGGGCTGCTCATGCATCAAAGGAAGTACGCACTTGAGATCTTGAAAAGATGTGATATGGAGCATTGTAATGTTTCCATAACACCGACTGAAGCTGTCCAAAAATGATGATGAGCAAGATGTGGATACAACTCAATATAGATTGGATCATTACGTTACTTGTTCAATACGTGGTCAGATTTGGCGTTTAGTGTTGGTATTTCAAGTAAATTCATGGAGAGACCGAAGGTGTATCACTTGGAAGCAGTTAAGAGGATCCTAATATACATCAAAGAAACTCTTGGTTGTGGGATTCTCTTTCCCGCAGTAGTTACGGGCAGAAAATGTGAGCTACTATGTTACACGGATTCTAGTTGGTGCAGAGATAAGGACGATCGAAAGTCTACGACTAATTATGTCTTTATATTCAGAGGAGCTTCAATCTCGGTGCTCTGAAAAGGACTTGTGGTGGCACTCTCTTCTTGTGAGGCCGAGTATATCACTGCATCGATGTGTACGTGTCAGGCTGTGTGGCTTGTGAATCTACTGAAGGAGTTGGGCAGCAAGGTTGTAGAAGCTGTCACACTCTTGGTTAACAATGTTTTAGCCATTAATCTTGCAAGGAATCCCATAGCACATGGGAGGAGAAAGCATATAGAGATAAGATTTCATTACTTGAGCGAACTGGTGTGTGCAGGCCAACTGAGGTTAGGATACTATCGAAGCGAAGAACAACTTGCATATTATTTAACAAAATGTGTGACAAATGATATGTTCAAGAAGCTCGTGAGGAGTTTGGGAATGAAGAATGTTGAGCATTTGTCTTAAGGTGGTGTATTGAATGTTCAATATAAGCCAAATGCATTATAGAAGCTTTTGTGATTGTTTCGTATAAAATATCTTATTCAAAAAGCACTTTTGAAAAGCTAGAAATTCAAAATTTTGAAGAAGAAATCGGTTTCCCAGTTTGAGGAAACTGGTTTCTGTCATGAATTTCACTTTTTGGATTTCTTTTTTTTAGTTGACGAAATCGGTTCTCCTGTTTTAGGAAACCGATTTCTAGCGTCATAAATTGAGTTTTTAAAGTTGTTTTGGGTCTGTTTTGTGGGTTCCAACTTATATTAATGTGTCCTATAAATAACCCTCTTGTAATGATTGTTTAGAGTTAATGTTAATTTTACTTTTCTCTTCAATTACTCTCTCTAATAATCTCCAAATTTCTCTCCAACTTCATCTTCTCCAATTAACTATTTTTTCATCATTGATTCACCAACTTATTTTTATGTATATTCCAACAATAATAATATTTAATTTATATGAAATATCTAAAAAAAATATTTAGAAAAAAATAAGATTGTAAAAAGAAATTATATAAAAATGGATTTTTAAAAAACAAAATCATTTATATTATAATTCTAGAAGTCGAACTACTTGAGTTTTTTTTATAAAGCCAGCCAAACTTGAGTTTATGTATGCTTTAATATAATCAATAACAATTTATTATATAAATGCCATTGTACTAGATTAATCAATAATTAAAAAAAATATTGTTATTTATGGAGTCGTACTTTTTCTATTTGTATTTATAAAGTTCAGAGTTTTCTCTTTTTTTATTGTTTGGTATGCAGATTCACAAAAAGTGCCTGTCTAACTTTCTTTTAATGGGTCAAATTTAATTTTTTTTAATAAAAAATAAGTAAAAATTCATATTTATATTGAACTTTTAAAGTGTAATTTTTTTTTATTTTATTGCACATATTTTTTCTTTTTTTGAGTTAATTTATTTTTAATTTTGATATTTTGTTGTAATATAAACAATATAATTTTGTTATATTATTTTTTTAAATAATATAATTCTTTTAAGCTATCTTTATAATTAATTCTTTTAAAGTGAAACATATATATCTTAATTTTTCTAAAAATATTATATTTTAAAAATGTTGTATTCCATATCCATACCGTATTGAGTAATTCAAACTGAGACAACACATCTCATTTATTATTGTTAGGTCTTATTTTAATTTTTTCAATTTTAACATCTCATTTATTATTGTTAGGTCTTATTTAAATCTTTTCAATTTCAACAGTAAATAAGTGAAACCACTATATAAGTAGTCTAGGATGAACAAAAAAACATAACACATTCGAATAAAGACAGGAGCCGCTCTACTTTTCATCATTCAAAACTGTTTTTGATAGAAAAAATAAACAAGTGAGTCATCTTTTTAATACTATGTCTTAGGTAGATAGTGTGTCTTTAGTAGATAGTGTGAATGTTGGAAGCATGAAAAGAAAACCTAACACGAGAAAAACCTAACCCTTCGTCTCCGAAAGTTTCATGTGCTTTTATGATATCTCCATATTCCAACAACGTGAATATTATAAATTACATTACATTAAAACAAAAGAGACATGCCTCAAACCTTATTATATATAATTAATATCGTTTTTATAATTCATAATAAATAACAAGAAGTAATTTTATATTTTCAGCCATGAAAAGTTTCAATAACAAGGGACTAACCAAAAAAAGCAACAACAGCCCTAGACCAACCACCCTCAAATCCCCAGGTTAAGTTGTGTTTGATTTTTTATATTTTTTTATTCAATATAAAGAAGAAAAGCATGTTAAAGTTAATAATAGTGGTATGTGTGGTTTCACAGTAGGAATGCTTTCACAAAAGTTCAATTGAAAGAGCTTGAAAGACAAATTATGATTTACAAGCACTTTGTGGCTTGTGTTTCTGTTCCTTCTTATCTTCTGTCATCCACCCCTACCTCATCAAGTAGGAGGAACATTACTGATCCAGTGACCTCATCAAGTAGTAGCAATACTGATCCAATGGAAGGTAGGTGCAGAAGAACTGATGGTAAAAAATGGAGATGCTCTGGATATGTTGCTCCTAATAACAAGTATTGCGACCGACATATGCATAGAGGTAGCCGGCGTTCTAAGAAGTCTATGGAACTTCGCAACAAGGATACAAGAAATTATTCATCATGTTAGTTATGCAGTTAGTAATTCTGCAGTTAGGTAGTTAGCAGCAGTTATACTAGCTGTTAGTTATACAGTTAGTTATGCTGTTAGTTATGGAAGTTAGTTACATATATAGCTTGCAATAGAATGCTAGCATATATAGGTGTGTAATGCATAAGCTTGAACATATGAAATAAAAATGCTTCTTTCCTTTCTCTTCTTTAATCTTTCTTTCTCTCTTTTCTCTATTGAATTGAGCATGAGTTCTTAATCATAATATGGTATCATTCGCTTCAAGATCCACACCTGTGATCCTTCTTCTTTTCCCATAAACCAGTCCTTCTTCTTCTTATTACAGTGCTTCTTTTTCATCTATGGCGCGCGGTTCCAATCCCACCTCCTCAACTCAACGTGTCAACAATGGTGACATAGATTCAGTCTACTATGTACATCCTAGTGAAGGCCCTAATTCTGTGATCATCACACCTCAATTGACTGGTGTCAATTATATTTCTTGGTCTAGATCAATGAAACGAGCGCTTGGTGCTAAGAACAAGCTTGCTTTCATTGATGGCACTATTCCTATTCCTGACATTGATGATCTCAACCGCTGTGCATGGGAACGATGCAATTGCTTAGTCCATTCATGGATTCTCAACTCTGTTACATCACCCATTGCTCAAACTATCGTTTTCTTGGAGAATGCTCTTGAAGTCTGGAATGACCTCCAGGAACGGTTTTCGAAGATTGATCGAATCCGTGTCTCAACTCTGCGCATGGAGATTAACAATCTCAAGCAAGGGTCGAAATCAGTTCTTGATTACTTCACTGAACTGCGTGGCTTATGGGAGGAATTAAACTCTTATCGCCCTCTACCATCGTGCACTTGTGCTCAACAATGTCGCTGCCAAGCCTTGAGAGCTGCTCGAGAATTTCGCATTGAAGATCAGGTAATACAATTTCTAACTGGTTTGAATGACAAATTTTCTGTCATCAAAACTCAAGTTCTTTTGATGGATCCTTTACCATCCATCAACAAAATCTATTCTATGGTGATTCAAGAAGAGAGCCATAACGTCTCTTTACTTTCAAAACCTGAATCCTTTGCTCCTATGGAAGAAGTTAATTCTTTGGTAAATGCTTATGACTCAAGAAGACAAGGTGATCGTGGCAAGCAAGCCAATTACTCTGGTCATAGTAACAATAGTTCCCAAAACTCGCGCAGAGACAATAGGCTGTGTACTTATTGCAATAGAGCAGGTCACACAGTTGAAGTTTGCTATAGGAAGCATGGTTTTCCTCCAAATTATGGTAAAAAGCAAACTGTTGCTAATGCCACAAATTCCTCTACTGGTGACAACCAACAAACCACTGGTGAAGAAGATTCCTCTAGGAGTCAATGTGCTAGCATATCTCAAGAGCAATACTCTCAGTTGATTAACTTGTTGCAGCAAACAAATTTACTGTCTCAGTTGCCAAATTCTGCTACCAATGTTAATTCAACCACCAATCACATTTCTACATATGAGTCTACAGGTAATTCTCAAGTGCTCATAGCATCTTGTTCCACTAGTAGAAAACCTGACTATTGGATCATTGACTCAGGAGCCAATGATCATGTATGCTCCTCTCTTCATTGGTTTAGTTCTTTACATAAAATTAAACCTGTTAATGTGTGTCTACCTAATGGTGCTATTGTCATTGCTAAACAAGCTGGCACTGTTAATTTTTCACCACAGTTTTTTTTGCAAAATGTTTTGTACACTCCTGACTTCTCTCTTAATCTCATGTCAGTTTCAAAAATGTGTCAATATCTTAACTGCAAACTTTCTTTTCATGCTGATCAATGTTATATACAGGATGTGAAATCACAGAGGATGATTGGTTTGGCTAGTCAAGTAGAAGGATTGTACAAACTAGTGCTAGATGATGGTTGGTCTGCTGATAAAAGAAAACACACTTCCAACTCAGATTGTTCCAATGACCTCATTATGCCTAAAACTTCTGCCAACACATGTAAAGTGATTCCACCACAAGCCTTGTGGCATTTTAGATTAGGTCACTTATCTCATGACAGAATTTCTAAAATGCATCAATTGTATCCACAACTTGTTAATGATAATAAGGCTGTCTGTGATATTTGCCATTTTGCTAGACATAAGAAAATTTCATTTCCTATCAGCACTTCTAGAGCAAATGCTAAATTTGAACTCATTCATTTTGACATTTGGGGTCCTATTTCCATTACTTCTATTAAAGGTCACAAGTATTTTCTTACTGTTCTTGATGATTTTAGTAGATTTGTTTGGGTAATCTTGTTAAAATCCAAGGCAGAGGTGTCTGACCATGTTAAAAATTTTATCATTCTTATTGAGAATCAGTTTCATACCTGTCCCAAGTACATAAGGTCTGATAATGGACCTGAATTTTCTCTCCCTCAATTTTATGCATCCAAGGGCATTATTCACCATAAGTCATGTGTAGAGACACCTCAACAAAATGGTAGGGTAGAAAGAAAACATCAGCATCTCTTGAATGTAGGTAGAGCCCTATTATATCAATCAAACTTACCAAAATCCTTCTGGTCATATGCAGTCCCTTATGCTGCTTTCATCATTAACAGAGTCACATCCAATTTACTTCAACAAAAATCACCATATCAGCTATTGCATGGCAATGTACCTGACATTAGTCATATTAAAGTATTTGGTTCTCTTTGCTATGCTTCTACTCTTACTTCTCATAGAACCAAATTAGAAACCAGAGCTAGAAAGGCAGTCTTTTTAGGCTACCCTGTTGGATATAAAGGCTGTTTACTTCTAGATCTCAATAATAGTGACATTTTCATATCTAGGAACATTACACATCATGAGCATATTCTGCCTTACAATACTTCTTCTGAATCTCTTAGTAATTCATGGGAGTATTTCAGTACACAGTCCTTACAATCATCATCACCAGTTACTAGCTCTACTCATCCTAATGTATTTGATATTGCTGACATTTCTGATAATGTGTTTAACACATCAGCTGACCCTGCACACAATGACACGAGTATTGACAATAATGATCTTGTGCAACCTGAATTGTCTAATCATGCACATGTTGATACTCTAGTTCCAGCACAAACCAATCCTCACAATACACCTACACTAAACACATCAGTACCTACTTCTCTCTCCACTCAACCCACCAATCAAATTCTCCCCACAAGGGTTTCTTCCAGAACAAGGCACCAACCATCTCACCTCAGAGACTATGTTTGTGCTTCCTTCAACAGCAATGACTACCCCATCACTTCATCCTCAGGTATTGCTTATCCCATTTCTAATTCTGTTTCTTATTCTCATTTGTCTCCTTCCCATTCTCGATTCACATTATCTATCACCACTCAAACTGAACCTAAAACATATGCTGAGGCTTGTAAATCTGCAAGTTGGATTCAAGCTATGAAATCTGAGATTACTGCTCTTGAAGATACTGGCACATGGCAAATAGTGGATCTTCCACCAAATGTTAAGCCTATAGGTTGCAGATGGGTCTACAAAATAAAGTATAAGTCTGATGGAAGCATAGAGAGATTCAAAGCTCGACTTGTAGCTAAAGGCTACAACCAGATTGAAGGCTTGGACTATTCTGATACATTCTCACCAGTTGCTAAACTCACAACAATTCGCCTTGTTTTGGCTTTAGCTTCTATTCATAACTGGCACTTACATCAGTTAGATGTGAACAATGCTTTTTTACATGGCACACTTCATGAAGATGTATATATGGTAATACCACCTGGTGTGAACACCACCAAATCCAACCAAGTCTGCAAATTGGTTAAGTCTCTCTATGGCCTGAAACAAGCAAGTAGGCAATGGTATGAGAGACTAACCTCACTGCTTATTCAACATGGCTACAAACAGGCAACATCAGATCACTCACTATTTGTTAAAAGTACTTCTTCTTCATTTACAATTATACTTGTATATGTTGATGATGTGCTTCTAGCAGGTAATTCCTTGGCAGAATTCCAACATATGAAGACTGTGCTTGATGTGGCTTTCAAAATCAAGGATTTAGGAAGACTCAAATACTTCCTTGGTTTGGAAATTGCTCACTCTTCCAAGGGCATCTCTATTTGTCAGAGAAAATACTGTCTTGATCTTCTTTCTGATACAGGTTTTCTTGGTTCCAAACCAAGTAACACTCCATCAGATCCTGCCATCAAATTGCATAATGATATTGGACCAGTCTTTGATGACGTCCCAGCTTATCGGAGGTTAATTGGGAGACTCATCTATCTCAACACAACCAGACCTGACATCACATTCATCACCCAGCAACTGAGCCAGTTTTTGTCCAAGCCCTCCATGATTCATTACAATGCTGCTTGCAGAGTCTTGCGCTACCTCAAGAAGTCACCAGGACAAGGACTTTTCTTCCCAAGGGATTCACACATTCATCTCATTGGTTTTTCTGATGCAGATTGGGCAGGTTGTATTGATACACGAAAGTCAGTGTCAGGATCCTGTTTTTATATTGGCAAGTCACTCATTTCATGGCGAACCAAGAAGCAAAACACAGTTTCACGATCTTCATCTGAAGCTGAATACCGTGCTCTTGCTTCAGCTACGTGTGAGCTTCAGTGGCTGCTGTATCTTCTTAAAGACCTCTCTATCACTTGTACCAAACTTCCAGTTTTATTCTGTGATAGCCAGAGTGCTCTTCATATTGCAGCTAATCCGGTTTTCCACGAGAGAACAAAACACCTCGAGATTGACTGTCACATTGTTCGTGAAAGGTTCTTGGCAGGCACTATGAAGCTTATTCCTGTCTCCTCAAGCAATCAACATGCTGATTTCTTCACCAAATTACTACTTCCTAAACCTTTTTATGAGCTCATGTCCAAGTTGAACTTGTTAGATATCTACCACAGTTCAACTTGAGGGAGGATCTCAACTACCTAGGCTGTTAGTTATGCAGTTAGTAATTCTGCAGTTAGGTAGTTAGCAGCAGTTATACTAGCTGTTAGTTATACA